GAAAGATTCCTTTTGATGCACACAGCAATGACTTAACTTGCTTCTAACATCTTTTAAATTTTTAGCACCTGAGTATAGTACCAAAGCCTGGATATCAAGGCTTTAAACATGAGCTTTGAGTTATCCTGTATCATAAGGAATCACAAACTCTTTGAAAGTTGAATGAAGTCAGAAAGGTATCTAGTTCAAACTCACTGAAAATAAAAGTGACTTATAATGCATCATTGGTGAGCAGCAGGAACTCTTTTCCTGTGGCACAGCATATACTACATTTGACTCTAATATGCATGATTTACCTAAGCTGGAACAGTTTTAGCGATTTTTGGTGCAAAGTGAATGACATACACACAAATTAAGTTCAGGTAAAACTGATCAGAAAATTACCTTCCTCCTCTCTCCTAGTTTCCAATCATGATTACATTCATGGAGTCTCTTCATCCTTTTTATCTACTCAGTATCTTCCTCAATACAGCCGCAGCCTGCTGATGCCTCTATGGCTCCTATGTCCTTTGATTCACCCCTCATTGACAAGCCTTTGCTAAATTTCTATTAGTGTCAGCCTCGTATTTCAGCTGGTTTTCAGACATCTTAGTTTTTCATTTTCTGCTACCTACACATTCTTGTAACTCTTCACCAGATAAACATTTGTGTTTTCGAGTTCTAGGAGTGTTGCTTTCTTACAGTAAAATATGTTGCCTGTAGGTTGAGCTCAAACTCAAAATTGATACGCCGTCCATTGTAACGCAAAGCACATTATCAACCTGTAGTAGCACCTGTAGATGAAACAATATCTTTTTAAAAATAAAGATTAGTTGCTTACTAATGACATATAATAATAAGACTCAGTTTTCTCACTGGAAATGAAGGTATGTTATAGAATGAGAGTGGATGACTTGTTTGCCCATTGTGATGAACCACTACCCTATAACACCTTCAGAACTTCACCTCACACCAACACATTCCTGAAACTTGGGCAATACTTTGGTTTCACTTGCTATTTTCTGATTGATTTTGTAGCTTTTTTTTTTAGCAGTATTCTTTACCTTGCACAATAATTTAAATGTTTATATATCCCCCACAAGTTTAGTTAAACTACTGACAGAAAGGTAGTTTTTCATATTTTGTTGATTATTTCATCTTCATACACTGAGGCTCCCACATACAAGCTTTAGTATTTAATATACTCCAGATGAAGGCTTGAGTCACTTAACCCCCAGGGGGACAGCTGAAGACAACCGCAGGTTTTTTTTTTTAATTTTTTATTTAAAACAATCTCTTTATATTACATACTAATCCCAGTTCCCCTTCTCTGTTCTGCTCCCTGTATCTTTCCTCTCCATCCACTCCTCAGAGAAGGTTAGGCCTCCCATGGGGAGTCAACAAAATCAATCACAAGAAATAATAAAGGCTGCAAAGCAAAAAGGCCAACCAAAATATAATGAAAGATATTTTACCTTTTCTTTTGGTATATGCTTTGGATATTTAATTTCTCATTTTATCAGATCAAACACTTTCTAGCACCGCTTTGTTTCTGTTTTAATACCTCTGCTGGTAACCCTTGTCATCTTAAATGGAAATCCATAGATTGTACACTAACCCTCCTGAAAGCAAGAATGGCTGCTATCTTTTTCTGAAATATATTTTCTAGCTACTCTTTGTATAATTAGGTTTGACAAAAATAGTAATAGTGAATCTTATCTAAAAGTTTAGATTTTAGTTACATGCCAACACACCAGAGTATAAAATTCAATCTTGTTATGAACTTACATAACAATGTGAAATTCATGTCTTATAAAATTGTGTGAACTCAAAAAGTGAGATGGGTTGAGAGTTTAGTTCGGATAATGACTTTCTACACAATAGGAATTATCCTAGACAGAGGCACAGGAAAGTTTCAAGTAACAGCACCCATGACTATAATGAAAGCCATTTGTTTGGCTGAACAATTGAATAAAAGCAGCAGGAACTTTTATTGTGTAGAACAAATTTTTCATAAATTCTGACCTGGAGAGTGGCCTCACTTTGTTTTTCTTTAAGGCCAAGGAATCAAGTAGATTCTGAAACTTTACTTCTAAAGCTAATGGAAACTTTCAGGAAAACAAGAGAGAAGACAAAAAGCATGAGAAAAAAAGAGAAAATAATATTTGTTAGGAGGGTCTAAAGTGCAAGATATGTTGAACTTCTTGTGAGTTCAAGTTTGTAACAGTATGTTGTTCTTCATAATGTGTTTTTTACATATTTTCTGTTTTGGTTTTTTTCCTTTATTTGCTTTCTGCCCCACTGCCCAATTTTCTTCTGTCCATTGAAGTCTTTGTCTTTTTATCTCTATCAAGATGCTGACTGAGCAGTATTTAATTGTGTATATATACACTTGTAAATCCCTGGCACTTGTTGGAAATACAACATGGCAATATACTTTACAGAGATGTGACAATCAGGTGAGGCTGTACCCTTGGTTGCTTAAAGGTAGCTGACAATATGAACTCTTAGTTTCTTACTTTTGTATTGAGGTCATACTTGTGTTGACAGGATTTTAGGATATGTCTGGGTGAGTTACTTTTAGGATAGTCTTCCTAGATAAATTTAATCCTGAACTTTAAGAGGGGATGACATCTCATTTCCAGAAACCTCTGTGATTTTCTTATATTTTCTATATGAACAGAAAAAGAAGAAAATTGTCAGGACCCCCAAAAGGGGTCAGCGGTGACTGTATGTTGTTGCCACCCATTGCTGATGGGATTCTAATGTGTGGGATTCCTGTTTCTGTTGGTTAAAAAGCATACTCTGAGCCACTTTTCTTCAGTAGCATGCATTCATGATAAGAAGACCTACGGGAGTCTCACAGTAAAGCTCTGGAGTGGATTAAAAATCTAGTTTTGTAATCTCTCTGAGTAGTATGCCATTCACTAGATATCTGGAGAAAACACTATTATGTTCCATGAGAGAAGGGGAAAAAGACCTTGTCAGATTCCAATCCTGGGACTGGGTTATATCAAATTGATTTGTTGACCAAGAAGTTCCATGTGAACACCCAGACAAGTCAGATGGCTGCCAAGACTATAGGTTGCTCACCACAAGCAAACAGCAAGGCCACATTGCAGAAAACAATACCTACACAACTCATTGGACATGTAAAAGTTGAGCTGTTATTTACTGAGAACCTTTGCCCCTATGTTTTAGTAGCTTTGGTACAGGCAGGTACTCTGAATGCCAGCAAATGAGAAACAGAAACTCCAAGCTGGTCAAAAACCCCATGATCCATAATGGTGCCCTGCCTGAAGGCTATGCTGCAGCAATATTGGCACAAATCTTGTGGGAGTCATCATAGTGGTTTGACTGAAGACTCACTCCACAAGATGGAATCTGACATTACTTAGGGGATCAAGAACTTGAGACTTAGTGATCTAGAGAAAGACCAATACAAATGTTCTAAAAAGAGAAACCGAGCCAATCCAACCAACCAAACAAGCAAAAAGCAAAAAAATATCCTAGCAATCTATACTCATAGACCAGGGCTCTGCTTCCTCCTTCGGCAGATGAGAAAAAAATACCTATGGCCAGACATTGAGCAAAGAATGAGACTTTTAAACACTTAGCAATAAATGGATGTCTCCATAAAAATCCTTTCCTTCAGGTCTCAGGGAGCCTGTGGAAGAGGAAGCAGACAAATCATAAGAGCCAGAGGGCACAGAGGACACCAAGAAAACAAGGTCCTATAAATGGACATGACCATAGCACACATGAACCCTCAGAGACTGAAGCAGCATGCATGAGACCCAAGGCTTCCATTGGTCTGTACTAGGTCCTTTGTGTGTGTGTGTGTGTGTGTGTGTGTGTGTGTGTGTGTGTGTGTGTATGTTGCCTTAGAGTTAGGGTGTTTATTCAGTTCTAGAGTGTGAAAATACATAGGCCTCTGTTTTGTATGACCTCCGCTAGGTTCATTTCCTGCTGTTTGCTTCATCCAATATGATGAAAGCTTTTGCTTGTGTGTTTGTTTTGTTTTATGTCATTATATTAAGTAGATTATATTAATCATCCTCCCTTAGTAGTTTGTTTGTTTTTTAATTTTCTTTTCACATAAGATATAGAAAGGGTCTGGATCCAGATGGGAAGGGAGGTGGGAAGAAACTGGGAGTGGGGAAGGAGCAGTGAGGAATATAAGGAAGCGAATAATATGTGATCAGGGTATATCATTTGAGGAAAAAGTTCTATTTTCATTAGCAGGAAAACATTTTTAAAAAGTCCTTGTCAGTGGTCTGTCTGATTTGACCACACAAGTTGAAAATGAGTGAACTTCCCCTTTCCTACTTCTTTACCTCATCCAGACAAAGGCAAAGGAACAGTCAGAGAGAAGTAGGAAGTCTACAACTTTTGTAGAAATGGATGATCTCAACTTTCCCCTTTGTGTGACTTGATCCACAGGAGAATGGGAGCAGTATATCAACTAATTTGAACAATAAAATTGAAACTACACTAAATGAGATTCCAGAGACACAAAGGGAAGATGATAGGTGAAATATATCTAAGATGTTGCTAAGCAGGCAAAATTCAGTGAAACATGTTTGAAAACGGTAGGATGAGGAAATGGCCATTCCATACTTGGACTGTAGCCACTTAAATTCAAAACGTCCTTAGCACTTAGTCGTAGTGAAGCTTTGTGGTAATTTTGTTTTCAGGCATTTTCCTATTAAAGTTAGTTTAGAGGCGTATTTCTGATTCTGTAATAGAATGAATGTACTTTTAATTATGATCTCATTCATTGATCCCAATAACTCCACACTAACTTAGTGTGGTTCTAAACTAAGCTTTGTATTTTTCCCTTTGCCAGTTGAAGACATTGGGTTTGGATAGGGAGATCTCATTGCTATTGATAAATTGATTACTAAATGAATAAAAGATAGCACCAATTTTTTTCTATGCTGTGACATATCTTGTGCCTTTTATTAATAGACCCACTACACTTAAGCATACATTCAAAGGGCATAAAATTAAAAGAAGCTTCATAAAGGTGGACCACGTGTAGGAAAGAAGCAGATATCACCATCCACATGCACACATTTCAGGAGATGGACATAATATTCAACTACTTGTAGGTCAAGCTGCAGGCAGAGCGAAAACATATAAAGAGCGAAAAATTGAGTTTCTTCATCAGTTATCTGCAAAGCTCTCACATCTAACCAGACTGGGGAGGCTTCATTTTCTTGGATTGCAGGATTCACCTATTGACCAGAAAGGACAGTTACTTATTATCATGATTTGTGTCCATTTGACCTTTCCCCTTCTAAAGGCTGAATCATACGTAAGCAAATACTATAAATGTGAAATTTCAGTTACAGGCATGCATTTCCATGTTTCTATTTTTTAAATAATAGGGCACTATAAGTTATTTTATCATCTAGATGCAAGACTTATATACATGTTTTTGTTTAAAGTTAAATTTAAAGTTAATTGTAAAAAGTCAGATGGAACATCAGGACTCTGGTGGTTGATCATAAACTCTGTTCAAAGGACAACGGAAGAACTGTGATAGTTCTTTCACTTAAAAAGCATTTTGGCCAGTGTTGATTATGTTAAGAATATCTAATGCGGTACTTGAGGGTATTCCTATCAGCCCAGGACTTGCTGTATTTTTGTCTACCTTGTAATGAAGAAGCTGAAAACAAGGTTAGATGCCTAACTTTGTTCTTGCAGGGTTAAATGTTTCAAAGTTTATCACTCACTACAGATATCACATTATCCATAAAACAGAAAATCAGAGGACAAGAAGATTACTCACCTTAGGTACTATCTTCATGATATGTTCTAGAAAAATTTTGTGTTGGTCCTCAATGGCTTCTGCCATTGATAGGATAACATCAGGGACTCCTGGCATAGCATTGAGTTGTTTCACTAGATATTTCAGAGGATCTTTCCAGTCACGAAGGATAAGTAGTGTCGTATTCAAAATGTCTTCAGACTATGTAACAGTAATTGAACAATGATTAAGATAAGTGAAATATAGGACTAGTTACACATGACTGTTAATTAGGAAGCAGGCACTAACTCATCATCTGCTATTCTTATGTATAAGTGTGATTTTCTTGAGAGGAAAATGATGTAGCAATGTAAAAGTCAAAATATTCACCTGTAGTTTAAAAAAATGAAACCGCTTATATAAATAATAGTTTCTATAAACTATATCATTTAACATGTTCTGTTTCTTTCTGAAATTCTACCATCTGCCTTCCCGATAAGGCATTATATATTTGATTGTTTTATTCATCCATGAGACAGACCCTCACCCAAGGCTTTCTTGAACTGAGGAGGTGCTCACTGGACTAGAATCAGGAAGACAGATATTAACAGTTTCAACAGCAAATCATTTAAATCATATTCATGACATCAGTTAGAGAGGATGTTTGCAAAATACTCATTATGAACTTCAGGATATTAATAGAAAGGTACCTTGTAGACAATCGGTCATTAATAAATATGGTTCTTCGGTCTACAACACTCCCTCCCCTTGTCTCTAACAAGTATACTGAAGAATAATGGAGCTCCTTGCATGCATAGACAGTTCAATTTTAACGCTTCAGTATATGTTAGGATTGTATTTGAACTATGTTAAAGTCTTTTAACTATATAGTGATAAGGAGAGTGAAGAGCAGAACAGTGTTCAATGCACACTGGCAGAAATGTGGGAAGAATATGAAAGGAAAAAGCAGGGGAAATGTTAAGGCAGTGCAGGTAGCTGGGAGAGGGTGAATAAGAGAGAGGATTTGAATTTGATAAAGTTCAAAATTCTATTATGAGTGGGCTGGCAGATGATACAAGTTCCACAAAACATTTCAAAGCATCCATTTCCTTATCCAAGCTGCAATTTGGGAGGATTAATTGAAGCAATGTCAATAAACTACTTTGTGACATTTCTACAATAGAGTAAATCTTCAGAAGCATCATGTCTCCACTTACCCTCCTTTTACTTTACTAATTATAAGTGATGCTTAAGTTAATAATCTGGAGGGTAAGTTATGGTCATGGGTAGAAAAGGAGAGTCATAACAAAACATAATCAGAACTGTTAGCCTTCTCATCATAACTGAGGAAATGATTTTCTGTTGGGGAGCAGTAGACAGGATTTATAAGATTCCCTTGTCCAGGTACTTTTGGTTAAGACACAGAAGAAATTATAAAGTCAAGGAGTTTGGCATTCAAATATAAGAAGCAAATGTAGAACCAGGATATTTACGATAGAAGAATTAGCTTGGTGGTCAATAATGACAGGCATATCAATGTGGAGACATTATTAATTTATAATAAAGACTATTGGCTTTGCATATCTTAACCATATACACGAATGTGTTTTTAAAAAAAATAGGTGCTCACTTTTGTTCAAAGTTTCTTACAGAATAATAAGTCAATTCCAAGTGGCAACACCCTGACATTCGATAAAGGAGCTAAAAGTATACAATGGAAAAAAGAGAGCATCTTCAACAAATGGTGCTGGCAAAACTGGATGTCAATCTGTAGAAGAATGAAAATAGATCCATATATATCACCATGCACAAAACTCAAATCCAAATGGATTAAAGACCTCAATATCAGTCCGAACACACTGAACCTGATAGAAGAGAAAGTGGGAAGTACTCTACAGCACATGGGCACAGGAGACCACTTCCTATGTATAACCCCAGCAGCACAGACACTAAGGGCGTCATTGAATAAATGGGACTTCCTGAGGCTGAGAAGCTTCTGTAAAGCAAAGGACACTGTCACTAAGACAAAAAGACAACCCACTGACTGGGAGAAGATCTTCACCAACCCTGCAACTGACAAAGGTTTGATCTCCAAAATATATAAAGAACTCAAGAAACTAGACCGTAAAAGGCTAATCAACCCAATTATAAAATGGGGCACTGAGCTGAACAGAGAATTCTCAACAGAAGAACTTCAAATGGCCAAAAGACACTTAAGGTCATGCTCAACTTCCTTAGCGATCAGGGAAATGCAAATCAACACATTATTAAAATAAGATCTTTTTTTGTTTGTTTGTTTTGGGTGACCCCAGCTAAGACTCTAAACAATAGAAGAGAGGGTGTCTGAACTGGTCTTATCCTGTACTCAGACTGATGACTATCTTAAATATCACCATAGAACTTTTGTTCAACAATTGATGGAAACACAGGCAAAGGCCTGAATCAGAGCACTGGACTGAGCTCCCAAAGCCCAGTTGAAGAGTGGGAGGAGTGAGAATATGAACAAAGAGGTCAAGACCATAATGGGTACACCTACTGAAACAGTTTACCTGAGCTAATAGGAGCTCACAAACTCTAGTTGGACAGGGGAGGGAACAGCATAGGTCCAAACTAGTCCCTCTGAACGTAGGTGACAGTTGTATGGCTGGGGCAGACTGTAGGGCCAATGGCAGTGGCACCAAGATTTATCCCTACTGCCTATACTAGCATTTTGGAACTTATTCTCTTTGGACAGATACCTTGCTCAGTCTAGATGTAGTAGGGAAGGCCTTGGACCTTCCCCAAAGCAATGTGCCTTACCCTCTCTGAGGAGCAGATGGGAGTAAGGTGGGGAGTTAGGATTGAGGAAAGGGTAGGAGGGGAGGGAGTGGAAACTGGGATTGGTATGTAAAATGAAAATATTATTTTCTTTTTAAAAAAATAATTAATTGATTAAAATTAAGATCTTTTAAATGGTTGGTATATAACGATCTACTACACTATTATGTAATATCTGATTTCCTTTGTAATTTATCAAGTATATACTGTGGTTTTTATTTCACGTGGCATTCCTGCCCTTCAGATTACCACACCCCTGGCAGTGCTCATAAGAAGGTACACCATGGCAAAGTCAGGGCAGCAATTTAGCTGTTTAGATGAAATGATGAGAACGCACCAGTTTCTTCCTGAGTTCCTCTACTGTGCTTGGAGATTCGATGGGAAGAATGTGGCAGTGTTTTAAGACTTTACCCATTTTCACGTCCCATTGCAAGCTTAACATCTGAAAATGTTCAAGAGGAAATTTGAGTTAACAAATATTTAAAAATTGAAAAAAATGAACTAGCAACCAAAATAGTAATACATTTAATAGATGTATAATTTTTACAAATTAATATTGCATGCAGTCTACAATTAGGAGAATAACTCTTTACTTAATATTCCATTTAAGTCAGTAACTTCATTTGACTTTTCATCTAAGTTTCTAATATCCCATCCTTCTTCCTATTTAGCATTTTATTGTTCTGTCACTAATCCTAAAATTTACTATATAATGCAAAGATAACCCCTAAATATGGTAAAGGTAAAAATGTGGAACATTTAAACAGCATTTTTCAGTGTGCTTTGAGCATGTCATGGTAAAAATTTATCATTATTAATTAATTTCTTGTTTGGTATTAGTTCAAATTCATTTTTAAAACTAGGCATTAAATAAATTACCCATTTTCTTCCTGTTTCCAGTGAATATATACACCTATACCATTAAAAGTCTATCATAAATCATGAATGAAATTGTTTCAATTGTAACAAAATTAAACATAAAAGTTAACCATTTTAGGAAATACTAAGCAACGATGAAGTTCAAAATAAGATACTAATTAAGGTTACAGATTACTGAATACATAACCAAAATTATTTTCTTTCTAAAATCTTTACAATTTTCTCATGAATATAAACATTAAAAAATAAAACATAAATTTGAGAATAACTTAAACAATCATTTTATCCGTGGCAAAACATGTTCCCAGAAGCCGTTTCGTTTTCATCCTTCTTACAGTGGCTGAAGTTTCCTTCACCCTTCACCTGTGCAGGGGTTTTATTTGAATTGGTTCTTGCTGCTTTCTTATGAAAGCTACAGTGCAATCATTAGCATGGATGCTTTGTGGAGAAGAGAGAAGTCAATAAAGACACTTACAATTTGATTGAATATTCTTGACGAGTACTTGTTGAAGAACTAAAACAGAATGGAGCAATGAACGAAAATGAGTGAGTAAACATCACGAATACATTTGACGCATGTTCTGGGTACCTCTCTTATTGAAGCCTTCCCAATTGTCTCCTTCTTGATTGACATTTACACAGATAATATTCAAGCCCTTTTCACCTCTAACTCAGTCTTCCCTTAAATAAACTCATGCACTGGAAACCTTTAAAAAAAAAAAAGGTTTCTAGATGGAGGCGTTTCTGTGAACAGAATATATCTATTTCCTTTCTTGACATCTGAGTTTAGATTAGTTCTAGTCATTCTATTCAACCCCCAGTAATACACTTTTTCCTCTATAACGTTTAATGTGTGATAACTTAAGATGCCTTGGAGACTGGCCTGCTGCAAATAATGTAAGGAAGTCCAAGTTCTTCAGCAGTTACATCTTCTAGGTTTTTAGGTCATGACTGCAAATTGAAGAAAAGTTATTTTTATGTGTGTTTTTAGAGAAGTTACATAGATGCAAATAATCTTTCCTTCCTTCTTTCCTTCCTTCCTTCCTTCTTTCCTTCCTTCCTTTCTTCTTTCCTTCCTTTCTTTCTTGCAATGGTGTTCTGTCTGTATCTATCAGTGTGAGAGTGTCTCAGACCTACTGGACTTACAGAGAGTTGTGAGCCTCCATGTGAATGTTAGGAATTAAACCTGGGTCTTCTGGAAGAGCTGCCATTGTTTTTAATCCCTGAGCTACAACTCCAGTTTTAAATAAAACTATTTATTTTAATTAAAACTGTTGAAAGTTTTTTTTTATTTTATTAACATTTATTGGAGTTTCATTTTTCTCTTTCTTGGTGTCTATATCTTTTGTTTTAATTGAAAAAAAATTCCGCCTCCTCCCAGCCTCCCATTTCCCTCTTCCTCCTCCCACTCCTCTCTCCTCCTCCTACTCCTCTCTCCCTCCCTCTCCAGTCCGAAGAGCAGTCAGAGTTCCCTGCCCTGTGGAAAGTCCAAGATCCTCCCCCCTCCATCCAGGTCTAGGAAGTTGAGCATCCAAACTGGCTAGGCTCCCACAAAGCCAGAACATGAAGTGGATCAAAACCCAGTGCCATTGTCCTATTGAAAGTTTTTCCAAGTCTTTGAGATTTCATAGAACTGCAACATTGTCCTTGTTGCACTTTAAGTACCATAGACTTTCTTGTAAATTTGAAAGGCATAATAGGAACAGGTTGCATTGTGTTTCCTATTAAACTATAGTGCAAGGAACTCATCATCTGGGAAGTTCCTTTAGGGAAAAAGTTGGGCTTAGTGAGGTACTTACAAATTCTCGGCGCATGTCTGTAGCAAGGTCACTGATGTTCTCAGCCAGTATAAGGGCATTTTTCAGCAAATCTTTGAGGGACACTTCACTAAGGCCAGCGTCACTGATATTCATGGGCGCAGATGCCACCCCCTCCCACAGGAGGAGGTTTGACAGAAACAGCATCAGGAAAGTCCCTGCTATGCAGAAACAAAGCTCCACTGAGAACTCTTCATATGCGGTTATCAACAGTGACAATATCTCTGCCTGATGTCCTCCCTTGTATGATCTGGCACTGTAAAACTGTGCTAGGGAATAAACTTCTTCCATTGTAAAAACGTAACTGAATAACTAATAATAATTAACACATACAGTTTGAGAGTTTGATGACTTCTCACCATTTTGGATCTCTATCAAATATGATTCCGAAATTTCCAAACATTTGGAGTTTATGTTAATTGTGAGTGAGTGGAAGCCATTCTCTTTAGGAAGCTGACATCTTGAACACTTAGGTTGATTTTCAGCTGTCCCTCTCTGAAAGACCTTGTCCTGCACTCCTTAGAAACCTCCAAATTTCTACGAGGACAGCACCTTCTACTGTGTCTTACTGCTTCATAGGGATAAACACATGCCTGCCTGTTGCCCAATCCTGAGGAAAAAGAGAACCCCGTCATAAAAAGGATTTTGTATGCTGACTTTCACTCATGCATGGTAATAATCTCATTCAACATTTCCCCAAAGCTTGCACTTGGTTTCTCTGTGAACGTACTGTTTACAGCAATCCTATGAATGGGAAACCCTGTGTAATATCATCAAATTATCTTGAAAAAGGGAAGCCTTATAAGTATAATTGGAGAAGGTTCAATGCCAACACCATGGAAATCCTGTCATATGTGTATATTTCTTATGTTCATATCTTATGTTCTTTGAGATCTCATGTGGAAGCAAGTCTTAGTGCCAAGTATCAGCAGAAGCTATTATTTGTAAATAACAAGTTTTGCCTTTGAGCACATGGACCAGGAAGCCCCACTAATCTTCATTTATTTACTTTCCTTACCTATAAAACAGCCACCTTTCAATTTTGAGGTTTTAACTATGACAAGTATTGAGTCCATATTTTTATTTTCAAAGATAAACAGAAACAATTCTATATAGATAATTCTTATTAAATACAAAAAAACTCATGCTGCTTCCCCCAATTAATTTTATGCACCTCATATATTTATGTTTAGAATAGGTGCATATACTGCTTTTCAATTTATCATCTGCAGAATTTTAGCAGTCCAAAAGGAGTGCTAGGATCCAATGACTTTAGGTTTTATTTCATATAATCCAATTTATGCTATTCCAAATGTTTTACTTAAAAATAGTAAGAAAAAGTCCAAATGTTAGCAAATTTTTCATTTTTAAAATGATATTTTACTTGAACTAAATTTTCAAAACTTTATAGATTCATCTCCTAAACTTGTATACACTGTTCTCAAATAGAAAATATTATTTAGTTCATTCTATTCAAGCCAGAACATGATACTTTCTTCATTCTACATGTCCCATATACTGAACCCATGGACTCATGTGGTCCCATCAAATGTCTCAATATCTGAATTTTCGATTTTTTGAGATAAATCATTCCCTTCTGTAGGTCTCTCCTGACGATTAAAGGTTGTTTAGACACATCATGATTTCTACTACAAAGTGTTAGTAATATTCATATTCTTTACTTCAGTCACCTAAAACAATGCAAAATGTTTCTAGATGCTGCTACATGACTCCAGGCTACATTATTCCTCTTTGGGAAATATAGATCCATAAATGCACTTTGCATTTGCTTTTAAAATAATGATTAGAAAATATTTCTCAGATTCACTGGATTTTACTTTTCTTGTTTAAATATTAATGTCCTTCATTCCTGGTAAGAAAAGTAACAACACGGGAGAAGTAAACTCTCCCAACAAGCTTTGCTTAAGTTCATTGCTTAAGTTCATTGGAAGGAGGAGAGTAAACAGTTACTTACAGGAGCATGGTTGAGTCAAAGTCAGTGGCATCACTGCTAAGTCCCACCACGGCTTAGCTGTTGACTCGGGGAAGACACTTCACTGGAGTCCTGCCTCCGACTAACTCTCCACCTCTTTTTATAGTCTATCACAGGATTCCGAAGGCTGCACACAGGTAGCAGGAGAAGGAAGCATTTATCATTATTTGTTTCCCTCAGGGGTATAAATAGTTTCGTTACCATGAGCCTGGCTTCTAGTTCTACGTGCACTGCTTATCTTAGTTTTAGGTTTGGAGGAGAACACAAATTATGTTAGGCGTAACCACAGCTATTTCTTCCTTATAAAGACTGATAGCAGTTTCAGATACTAGGTAAATAGCTATATCATAGACCTTTTCATAAATTTCCTTCAGATTCTTAAATATTTTGATGAATTCTTGGGAAAAGTTCAATGAAACTTGGATGGAGGTCATAAATAATTCACTAATTTTGTAAAATTTGAACACATGGCCACAGTATACTGAGCAGTTTTACCAGCATAAATCTTTGACAATATCCAAGGTATGTTGTGAAATGTTTGATTTTCCATATTAGGCACATAAGGGTGTCTAACATTCAAATGCAGATGTCAAGGAGGCTGTTTTGGTAGAAAAATCAAATTAATTTAAGCAAACAATGTCAAAAGCCTTCATTTTTGGAACCGAGAACATCTCCAGTGACAGACTTTTGAACCAGGTTTACAAACATTAGCTCAGTGTGCAGAACTGGGCTTAGAGCAAATTGTAACTTATTCAACTAAACTATAACCTATTTACTGTAACAATCATACCAACAGGGAATTAGTGAAAACATCTGCCTCAGTCTGTTAATTACCTTAACTTGTACTCACCGGGTTCTTTCCTCATATTTCACACTACTCTTCCATCCCATTATAAGTTCAATTTCTTCTTCTATGCAACCAGAACATATACTATCTCACTTTATTATTTCTAGTTTGTAATTCAGTTCCCATCCAATACTCCAACAACAGTCACTTTCACATAGATGGCCACCATGGACTCACTATTGAATAACTCATAGGAAGCAAAGTAACCTGGTCTTGGGATTCTTTAGAAACCCTGTGGTTTTTCCGAGTACATTTTTCAACCCGGCCTGATGCAGTACGTGCTTTCAGCTTCTTGACTGTCTTTCCTTTCCTTCTAAAAGTTTCTCCAAGTCTGTAGAACATTAGATCTCTGTACAATCCTTACCAATGAAACCGTTACAGATTATAACCAAAACTGCTTAAAGCCCAGCGTTCCCTGCTGCCAACAAGTACAATTTTAATAGAACTCAGCATCAATAGGAATCCTTAAAAACAACACTACCCACATGAAAAAAAACAGCTAACACCTCACAATAAATAATAAAATGATCTGTTTCTTTCAGTTGTTTCTTCCATAAAAAGATGTTGCTTACAATAAAGTTGTTTTAGGAAATACTCTATTTTGATAGAGAAAATATGGAGTTGTTTAACTAGTATTCTCTCTCAATTTATTAGAGGTAGGATCACCATGGAGACTATGATTGTTAGATCAGGACTGATCAAGGGTGGTGGGCATGTGACACAGGGTACTTGGGGTTTTATGGGCAGTGAAGATTCTTGTCATGGAAGATTCTATCTACAGATCTATTCTCCGGCCACTTCAAGTTGGAATTGCCACTGGAGGTTGGTGTGGCCTTATCACGAGAGGTGGATGTTCTACTTGGGAGAAGGGAAGTTCTTTAGTGTGTAAGTCCTCACCATCCATTGGGCTCTCTTGTCAGAAACCTCGTGGATCCTAGCATCCTGTATATGGCATCTATCAAGATTTGTGCCATTAGCCCTTCAGTGATCTAAATGGTGAGAAGGAGCCCATCCTGCTCAAGACCTTGGCAGCACTGCACAAGTGGCACTGATTTTACAGAAATGGAAGATAGAAGAGTGACAACACTCTTCACGTTTACCACAAGGTTGCTGAGCTCCCCTGGGGCCAGGCAGTGTGTGACATGTTTGTAGTCCCTGGAAGGTAGCATGAAAGGCCGTTGTGTGATACAAAGGAGATGGCACTAGAGCTGCAATAGAGATATCAGAGCATCAGACATGTAGAATCCATTATAAAGTCCACCGAGTAAAACCTAAAGGCATGGTGAAACTAGACAATGAAGGCTATATGTGTTAGAGGCAACATTTTGGAGGAGATTGGCTACTCAAGCTCTTTAGAGATAATGACTCCATCATAAGATTCGTTACCAGACATGACAAAACAGCAAATCTGATGCCTGCTCTGATGGGTTGCAGTATTTTCCCAAGCAGGTAATCCTTGATATTCCCCATTCCTCAATTTTGGAATGTCATTATTCCTTGGTTATGTGATACATTAAAACTGTATTTTGGATTTTATTTTAAAGGATCTCAGTGTTAAGAGATTGTTTCAAATATCAGAGCAGGCACTTGACTTATAAACAGTATGCATATTGTGAAAGAATACAATTAATATGAACGTACTCAATACGTTTGCTTTAAGACACATGCATGAGTTTATGAGGAAATGATGCATAAAGCCATCAAGTTTGAGGCATGATTTGAGTCATGTTTATAAGGGTTGTTTGTGTCACTTAATATCAAATGTCAGCTTTATATGCACAAAAGTCACCTAGCAAACAATCCTCTGGGGATGATAATAAGGGAGTTCTATACTTGGTTATCATAGATCCACCATAACTGTGGATATCACCACTCCATGCACTGTGGCAAAGACTGAATTTGAAGGACAAAAGAAGAAAAGAACCAAAAACCATTAATCTCAGCCTTATACCTGATTGTAGAAGCAAAGAAACAAGCCACCTCATCTTCCCTGCCATGATTAACTGTGTTCCCTATCAATGTTAATCACAATAAAGTCTTTCTTGCTACATAATTTTGAAACAATATTTGAGAGAAAAATCACAGTGTATGCCTAGAGACGAGGTCACCAGAACGCCAGGTTGTTTCCATTTTCTATAACACAGTTTGTTTTAGAAGACTTTGTGGGCTATTATTTATTTACAGGTTTCATGGGTTATAAAATCCTCAACAATTGTAGATCTGGCAGTTGTTGTTGATGTTAGGTCCATCCCTTTAACTGTTGAATTTTGAAAGATTTTCAACACCTTTTTTGTAAGCATTCTTGATTTTCCAATTCCTCACATCTGACAAACTCACGAATTTTTGAAGTGTCAAGGTTACAGACATTTAAAGGTGGGACGGCGGTGCTTCCCTTTAAAGTATTTCTCCCACAGTCAGGGAGTCAGCATAGATCACATTTATAGGAGAAAACACTTCCCAGGTTCACATTGACAAAGAATGTCGTGTAAATTGGATTTGTGAAGTGGTAAAGCAGTCAAGATGGGCTGAAAAAAATTAAAGGCAGAAAAGGGGTCACTCAAAGAATAATAAGACAAGAATTATTCTGACCTCAAAGCCATGTTCTTTGGAAAAGCTAAAAGCATGTCAGGTGCTATGTTCCTGTGTAGGTCAAGGTCTTAACAAGTGTTCACTGATGGAGGAAGAGATGCAAATGGTGGCCTCCTGTTGATTTATAAAATGCTGGTGTTTGGTGAAAGAAAATCAATCTATAATATTCCTGAATTCATTTGGATCACTGATAGCAGTGGGTGGATTTAACTATAGAGCTACAAACAAGAAAATAATTTAGCATTTGTTAATTTGGGTGATTGATCTGCCCCAGGTATCATATGGTATGCCTTTTTCTAGGAGAAGAAAAATACGCACCTGGTGGAATCACTCCTGCGCTATAGATGCATACCAGAATTGAAGAGTCATGATGGAAGGTACAAAATCTAAGTTGAACTTAGACTTTTGGAATATTGAAAGTCTTGGGAGGTGGAAAACTTTCATCTATCACTGTTTCTGTATAGAAGATAGGACTGACCAATGAGCATGCAGTGGCCACAAGGCAGTCAAGTGAACATTCTAAGGAAGCTGATGTGGCATTTGCAAATTGGCTTTATTGAATGTGGATGGTTTCATAGGCTAGGGTCCTGAGTGGAGAGTAGTGAGGTGCAGACAGGTGAGTCTAATGGCCTTTCAGGAGAAGTTTAGGGGGCTCGGAGCAACAACCCTCATCCAGACTCTCATTTAGAAAGTGTCAAAGTAATTTAGATGGAATGAGAACAAAAATCAGGAAATAGTCAAACCCACAAGAAGTTTAGAAGATTGGTGATATGATAAGGCAGAATTGATAGGAAAATATTTAAAGAGAGTCCGATACGGTGCCTGTGTGCATGTATAAGAGTTTATTGCTTAGAGTATTGTTCTCTAAAGAGACAGAATACAGATTTTGGATATGGCACAAATGTGGAAGCAGAACATATGGTTGGTTGGGAATCACTCAGTAACAGTTTTCCTACTAATGGTCAGAGTTGCCTGTATGTGAGGATCACAGAAGATCCCAAAGACCCATTATTAAGTTATACTTTTGTTACTCTATCTGTATCTCGCTGAATCTTCTACTTAGTTGTATCTTCTAAGCGAATATTAACTCATGGAATCACTGACATGCAGTGGGCAGTAGTGAATGGATCTGGAGACAGAAGCATGGAGGAAAAAAACACTGAACTTGAGTATGGCTGAGGAAACCACCCAAGCACAGGGGATATGGTCTGTTTTCCAATGCAGCAAACTCTGTCGCCTGGATGACCTGGTGTGCACAGGATGTAAATATAACCAACTTTTACCTCAGGGTGGCAAATGTGAGTGAAACTTAGGGTTTGCATCAAATTTTGTAGTCGGCATTCTTTATTTAACTCTGGACAATGTCAACAGAAAAATTTATTTGGTAAAGAAGGAGGGATCATTAACCATCATGGAAAAAGATAGAGAGGACAATCTAAAGTGAAGCAGTTGCTTATATGTGATAAGTCCTGTCCCCCAACTTCCCTGATCTGTCTCATCAGAATGAGATGCCTCCCATCTAGCTATCAAAATGAATTGATAGAGTGTCCTAAGGTAAGGGAACGTATAGTACCATG